GTTGCCAGGGACGGAAGTGAGGAGGAGTGGGGAGTGACTGCTGATGGGTGTGGGGTTTCTCCTGGGGGTGATAAAATGCTCTGAATTAGGTAGTGGTGATGGTTGTACAGTCTTGTGAAAGAGAAATCACTGAGTTGCGTGATTTAAAAACAAAAAAAGCAAATAATAGTGGACAGTATTTTGCCTAATTATTGGGGGCACCATGAGGGCACGGCGTGTGAGCTTTGGAATCAGACAGGCCTGGATATTTGTATGTTTTTTAAAAGATGGCTTAATTTTTCTGAGCTTCAGTTTTCCCCTCTGTGAAGTGGAGATAATTCCCATCTTGTAGGGTTGGAGTGCAGACTCGGGAGGTGGCGTTTGCGTCGCTGGGCACCGGCGGGGCCCACGGACCGGGGGCTGTCACTGTTCGGCCACGTGCTCCGCGCCCAGCTCCGGTGGAGGCGGTGGCCGGAGTGGTCGTGCTGGCTCCTTCGCTCCTGAGAGCGAGGGAGCGGCGCCCGTTTGCTGAGTGCCTGTGATGCCAGCTGCCGGCGTCTGGCTGCTTCGCTGTAGCCTCTGCAGCCCTCCAGGAAGCCCCCGGCACACTGACACAGCCAGCTGGGGGCTTCAGTGTTTCCAGGGAGACACAGGTGGGGGCCGTGAGCCCGGCACAGAGGGGCGAGACGTGGGGCGTCGGCGGCTCGGTGACAGGCACCCATTATTCATCACATTCATCTATATGGGAATATTTTTCGCAGTAAAGTTTAAAAGCAAACAACCCCCTGAGGTAGGTACTGTTACTTGTGTTTTCAGACGGGCAAACCGAGGTACAGAGTGTGCGAGGTTACACAGGGAGACGCGGAGACAGCTCGCTACCTCTCATGGACGGGGCGTTAGCAGCCAGCCGGTGAAACAGGAGCCCGGCTAGGGGGCCCGTGGGTTGCTGGACACCAGAACCGTTGAGGGCCCAGGACCCTTGCATCACCCCACCGGGGCTGGTGTGCTCCCCTCTTTCTCTGTCCTGGGAGATTAGGCTTCACGGGTGGGAGATTAAAGGCCGGGGATTCTTGGGTCATCTGGGCTTCGTGATGCCGGTGGGAATTCTTTCACTCGATTACGCTGATCGTTCAAATCTGCGGGCCTGTGACATCGCTTTGCTTCTCATACTGTGACCTTCGGGAAGAAGGGACTCAACCATGGGTATGTGTCACTCACGCTGCTCCCTCCGCCACCCCACACCCCCCGGCCAAGTGAGACACAGGCCTGAGCGTGAAATTTCACCCCCTCTGCTGTGTGGCTTTGGAGGGGTGGTTCCACCTCTCTGAGCCCAGTTCATCGCTCGAACAGAAAGGATGTGAACGCTTCTGTACGGATTTCCGCCCCCGCGGGTGGGTCTGCAGGGGCCCGAGCACGTGAGGCGCAGCTGCTGTGCCCCGGGGCCTATGGCTGCCACCGCCACCGTCTCCACAAGGGGAATGTTTGCAGGGATCGGCAGAGAAATGTTCGACGAATGTGCCTTTAATGTTGGATGACACTGGATGTCACAGTGACTTTGAGAGGCCACGTGTCAGTGGGCCTGGGCACGCCCTCGGAGGGGTGCCACCCGTTTGGCCCACGGAGGTGCGGACCGCGCGGTCATTTGGTGCAGGGCTGGGCTCCACCCCGAGCCCGTCCCTCCCAGAGCTGGGCTGCGGGCGTCGGGGCGGTTCGTCTGGGGCTTGGTCTGATCTCTCGGGAGTTTAGTGGCTGCTGGACCCTGAACGTGGCTCCGCCCTGTCCCTCCAGCTGGAGTGCCCGGAGCCCTTTCCCTCCCTCCGCCTGCCGGTCTTCTTGCCTCTGGGTGGGGAAGAGCTGTCATAACCCCGAGGATTTCATTCCGGCAACCCTCACACTCCTCTGGGCCGAAGCACATCACCAACACCTGTCGTGGGTCCTAGGGACTGTGTTGGAAACGGGATACATCGCAGACGCTGAACTCCGTCTGCTCCGTCTGCTGGAGGCCGTCTTTGGCAGCTTTGTTTTACCTGGGTGCCCCGGGCACTCCCTTAAAGCCTCGCTGAGCTACCGGAGGGTGCAGATGTGTAACGGACCTTGTGCCAGAGACTTAACGCCAGGGTGCTGCTGGCCTGCTCTGCCCTGCCCGTGCGTGGGGCTGGTGGGGACGGTGGTCCGTAAGCAGGAACTCTCTCCTCCAGCCGTGGAAGATGCCAGAGGATGGCAGAAACCTAACTTGGAGCTGTTGGCCTTGAGTCGTGAGAACCCCAGGGGTTGGGAGAGGCAGACAGAACACAGGCTGGCCTGGGCCCAGAGCCTCCCGCGGGTTGTCACGGTCTTAAAGGCCACACCAGGGATTACCCTGGGGAAAATTAATATATTTTGAAAAGATTCAGAAGTTTAGCGTTGAAGGGGTCCTTCATTTCAGTCATGCTGTCTGTTTTATTTAGATAGGGGTTCGTAAGATTTCAGACCGAATTTGTATTGCAGGTGAGGAATGAGTAACTCGTCCTGCAGTGAGCGTGGGGGCCCTGGGCTGACCAGTTCCCGGGGGCGCGCTGCCTTCTCTGGAAGGCGCCCCTGGAAGGCCACGGCCCTGCCTCCTGTGTGCAAGGCCAGGCAGCTGTGGGCCTGGGATGCCGTGAGCTGGTCCCTGGCCCACAGCCTGGGGGGGGGGCGGGGGGAGAACACAAATAATAGAGCCCACTGGACACGCACCCAGGGAGGGCCAGGAGGGACTCACTACCCCAGCCTGAGAGGGGCACTTGCCTGGGCTTTTGAGGGTGCCAGACTTTGGCCGTGGAAGAGATGGGGGTGCGTGCGTTCCAGGCGTGAGGAACGGCATGTGTACGGCCTCTGTGCAGTGAAGAGCCGGATGTGTCGAAGCCACACGTGAGGCTCCTTTCTGTGGCTCGTGTTCTCTCTCTAGCTGGGCTTGTTTTGTCACGGGGCAAGGAGAGGCACAGTCTGTTCCCGTGCTGGGCCACCACCCCCTGGAGGCTGGCCGAACATTCCGGCCCGGCCTCTGCGAGTCTCTCAGTCTGTCTGCCCCACAGCCTCATGGCCCGAGTCCAAGGCTGTGCGTGGGTGCTCTTTGCATCCCTCCCCACCCACGTTCCCCATCCCACTTATGGCTGATGCTCAAGCCAGGGTGTGGCAGAGGCACATGGCAGAAACATGGGCTTTTAGACAGACTGCTCCTGATCAGGGCCCCGCGTGGGACATGAGGGAGGAGGAGGAGGAGGACTGGATTCTTTCTCCTTAACTGGGAGGGGGAAGGGGTGGGGGTGGCTGAGTTTTATGATGAGGGAAATATTTGCCCCTTTTCATTCCTCTTTACACCCCGTTGCCTAGTGTGCCCATCTTGCCTGACTGTTGTCCCCTAAGGCGTCTACTCCCTCACCCCATGGAGGCCTGTCTCCCCCACCCCAAAACACACCACACTCCTTACTTATCCCCTCTTCCCCTGTCCCTCCACTAAGAAGGCCCATCCTGGCAATAGTGACTCTCTTCTGGGCCAAGATTAATGCAACCCGGTGCTAATTCTTACTAGTGTGTGAAGGACTGATGGCACCTATGTCCCCCAGCTGTTTGGATGTTAGGCCACCAGGCCAGCAGGTGAGGCAGCCTAGCATCTGCCTGCAGACGTCCATGTAAGCTATTCCCACTGCTCTTGGGGTTGTCCTGTCTTTTGCTTCTGACTTTGGAGGTTTCTTGAAGTCTGCAGCATTTTCAGGGCGAGGAGTGGCTTTGGTTGGGGCCTCTGGTGAATGGGTTGCAAGCTGACTGCAGACCTTGGTTGGGTGTGGCCACTGCCAGCTCAGTGATCAGGCTGGGACCATCTCATCCTAAATTTGAAGGCCAAAAACAAACACATCCTTGCAGAGGGACACTTAGATCGGCCACCGATGGCATGTAAAATCTTTCTGCTGTCCTCTCCTTGAGGTGGGGAGTGGCTAAGAGGTTAGAGGACAGAGGGGCGACCAGAGAAGACAGAAGAGGGTATCCCCGCATCGCCAGAGCAGGCTGGACAAGCGGCCCACAGCCTCTCTCCCTAAGCAAGTAATTCCAGAGTGAGCCTCCGCCAGCCTGCGCCTCCAGGAAGGCCCTCGGGTCGCGGAGAGCGTCCGCTCCAGGTCTGTGAAGTGCAGACCCCACAGAGGGCGGAGCAGTGCCTCTGCAGAGCCCTGGCCTGCCGTTGCCTTTTAACTAGGTTATTGAGCTGTTGACAACCAGGCATGATGGGTCCCTTATTAAAAACCAAACAAAACCCGAGAAGGCAGAACAAGCCACGCAGAAGACCGAGTGCCCAGTGAACTCATCAACCCTGTGGCTTTGATCTCCGAGGACCAGGAAGACGAGGTCTTTGATGTTCACTCTCTCCACAGCCGTCCCTGGATGAGTCTGTGAAGGGAGTGCTGAGCCTCTGAGCCAAGGATTAATTATGTAACAGAGCTCAGGTCCCTGGCAGGCGGCTGGCCAGGAGGGGCCTGGAAGGCTCCCGCCCCCTGCGCCTCAGGATTAGCCCGAGGCCCGCTCCTCTGGGAAGCGCCAGCGGGCATCTGTTGAGCGGATGCCTTGCAGGGTGTTCCTTAAACTGCAGTCATTGTCTCTGTGGAGCTCCAGAGCAGCTTCTTGGCTGTCACTCGCCAGGTCCCTGAAATGGAGCCTGTGCAGAGGAATTAAGGAAAGCTATCGGGCATCTGCAGCCGCTATTGTACCATCTGCTGGCTCAGAAATATTTTATAATCAAATGAGTAAGACAGGCTTCTCGCACGCCACGCACACACAGCCCCCTCTTCCCGCTCCGCCCAGCTCCCTCTGGGAGCAGCCTTTTCCCAGGAGTGACGATAATGTGCTCTGGGTTTGGGGCTTGTATAGCTGGATGACCTTGGGCAGCGGTCTTCTCTCCTCCCCGGCTTGTTCCTTTGTGACGCAGAGGCCCCCGTGCTCAGTGCTGTTACGTGAATCAATGGGGTTAATGTGTGTGTCCCCCTCTGATACTACTTACTACTTGTCTTAGATTTTCAGAATTGTGTACTTGAACTTTTTCTGGTACGTGCATGTTCACTGTAGAACATCTAGAAAATAGGAAGAGACTAGAACACAAATTACTAATCTGTCCTCCCCCCTCCCCCGAGAGGGGCTACCGCTGAGAACATCTGGCGGCATCTGGGAAGACTCAGCACACAGATGGTCTGTGACCCAAGCGACGGCAGTCATTGTGGACGTAAATGGAAATGAGAGTCTGCGGGCCGAGTGTGGCTCCGCAGGGGGTGTGTGCACGCGTGTGCAATGCCTTGGGGTCCTGAGACCGCCCGTGGTCAGAGCAGGGTCCACAGGGTCCCGGAAAGGGCATCGGCTCAGTTCCACCGTGCCTTTCTCCCAGGGGAAGTGGGGTGCTGGTGCCGCGGGAGACGCGGAGGCCAGGCTGGGACCTGGGGTTGCCAGGAGGTCAGGGACGCAAGTAGCTTGTCATCAGCCCAGCAGCCACACGCCTCATTCAGGACCCACCTTCGGAGTCTGGGAGGAGGTGCGCTCTCACACCACAGCTAGTGTGCCCTGGCCCCCGTCCCCTTCGCCCCATGCGGCTTTGCTCCTTTTCAGATCAGGAGCAGCTCTGCCTTCGGGAGACCGTGAACAGAACCGACATCGAGGGTGGCTGTGGGTGTCAGCGATCACCCACTGGGATAACGGGGCCACCAGTCGAGAACTACAGACCCCTCCCGAGGGGGTGTGTGTTTATGTGGACCAGGTGCCGTCCTTGTCATCAAGCAGAACTACACGTACTGTGTTTTCTTCTCTCCAGATAGAGTGGGAGGGAGGGAGAGAGAGAAGGAGAGAGAGAGAAACATTGATGTGAGAGAGTCACACTGATCGGTTGCCTCCCGCATGACCCCAGCCAGCGCTGGGAGTCGAACCTGCAACCCATGTATGTGCCGTTGACTGGAATCGAGCCCGTGACTCTTTGGTCCACGGGCCGTTGCTCTAACCGCTCAGCCAAACCAGCCAGGGCCATGTACTGTATTTTCAACAACCTCCCTCTCCTCTTTTGCTTCCATGTCCCATGTAGCCGCCCCGACTTCCCCCGCCCAACATGCACAGACGCTGGCCCTCCCCTCCCGCCCCCATCTCCACTGGGGTCAGGCCCATTCTGATGACGCACCCACATTCCACTGTCCACAGCCCACCCTCCCGCCTCCCAGACTGTCTCTGAAGGGTTTGTCTCTGTTTGCGGAGCCGGGAAAACTGTTTTCACTCGCGGGGACAGAGTGTTCCTAGATAAGTCTGAGCATCACATCACTGGGATTCCGTCTCTGGGACCCAGCTTGCTCCCACGTTCCTTCACTGCTTTGGTCTTTCTGTCCTCGGAGCCCCCCCTCCGTGCCAGGCTCAGCCAGGTCGGCGCCGCATGGGGTCGGGGACAGGGTGTCCGAGGAGCGCTTCCTCCTGAGCTGGCTCGGGTCACAGTGATCTTATGTCAGGTAGGGACTGTGCTCATCAGCCCTGAGGTCCGTCTGCGGTGTGGGAGAGGCGGAGCAGGGGTGGGGGAGGCACACGGGCCCCAGATGGCCACACCTACCGCCCCCCTGGAAGTGCCTCCGGCTACCCCGGTGCCACGGTCTGATTCGGGGGTTCGGTCCCTAGAAGCTTTCGCTTCCTTCAAGCCCAGCTCATACACTCCGGTGCTTCTGCTGGCCCGGTTCCCTACAGGTTTGAACCCGCCTTGATGATGGCCTCTTTCCATGGTGCGGTGGTGTGAGTCTGTGTCTGGGCGAGGCTGGGATTCCCGAGGCCTCCTTCCCGTCCCCGGATCCACGCGGGCCGGCACCACGCACGGGCCCACCCGCCAGCACTCAGCTCCCCCAGCCCGACTTCTCCGTCCTCACTGATCACCGGGCGAGTGGCCACCCATGACGTGCTTCTCTCTGCCTTGCCATCGATTGCTGGGGACCTTGGAGAGGTCACTTTGCCTTTCTGTACCTCAGTTTCCTCATCTGTCAAATGGGGTGTATTTCTGCCCTGCTGGCTTCAAAGGTTTGTTTGAAGACTGACCAAGGCCTGTTGGACGCAGGACTGGGAGGTTGGGGGCATCCCACGGTGAGGAGTCCCCTGCACACCCCCGCCTCCGCCTTGGCTTCCCCCTTGGGGCTGGCACAGGGCCTGGGGGGTCACACAGGCGCTTCATGGGGGTTGGGGCAGCCTGAGGCAAAGTCAGATTTTAGGACCCAAGGATGGGGCAGTGGCTCCCAGACTTCAGGATCCTGTGACCTGATTAAAATTTTTTTAAAAAGTAGGGCCAATAATAAGGTTGCTAACTTTACATTTTGTCAAATAAGGTTGTAAAACATTCTCATCTACTATTAGTATTATTTTATAATAGAAAGGACATTTTCACGGCACAGAGGACAAGGAAAAGTGCCATCTCAGGAGAAAAGACCGTCCTCTGAAACCACAGTGTCATTGTTCTTCCCTTTGCCGAGTCTAGTCCCGGCGCGGGTGGGCGGGGCCCCGGGGTCTGGGCGCTGGTTCAGGGCTCGGTGGCTCGTGGGGTTCGGATGATCAGCTTTCCAGGTAGCTCCAGATTCTGGGGAAGTTTCATTTTCTTTTTAATTGTGGACAATTTCAAACATAAGCAGATGCAGCACGAATAGGAAGACGAGTGGTGGAAGTTTAAGGACCCGGGGGTGGTGGGAGTCTGGGATGGTTTAAATTGGGGCTCAGGCAAAGACATGGGCACCTCACCTGCGAGACACTCGGTGGACGGTGAAGCCAACGCTGGCAGCTACTTACAGCTTCACCTAGGAGACCACTGCTCTAGACTGGGGGCCCGGGGGCAAAATCTGGCCCCCTGCTCGTTTTCACAAATAAAGTTTTATTGGAATAGCCATGGACATTCATCCTTTACGGCTGCCACCGTCTCTGGCTGCTCTCACCTGGCAGGCAGGGTTGAGGACTTGGGACACAGACCCCGTGGTCTGCAAACACGCCCAGGATATTTTCTCTCTGGCCCTTTCCAGAAGTTTATTGCCTCCTGGCCTGGAATGGGGATCTGGAACCCAGGTGAAAAGGGACTATTTGAAGGAGTTTTTATTCTAAGTGCCCCCCCACCCTTCAGTGCTTGCCTCCTTTTCCCTATAGTTTTGTGAAGTGATCTCTCATCTGCTCCGGGCTTGCATTCCTCCCATGACAGGGTGCTCACCCCCCAGCATCAGCACATTCCAACATTGTGTAATTCTGTTGCTTAGTCATTCCTCAGCGGGCCCTCCCTGAAGCGTTAACTCACAGATCCTTGGGTTCGGCTCTTACGGTCCAGGGAAGTCCGCGTTGCTCCCCCTGCACAGTGCTTTGGCCTGTGCTCCCCGACCCCTCGCTCTGCACTCCACGACTGTTCTCTGCGTGCCCTACTGCCGGGCAGTTAAAGGGCCTCTTGGGAGCCGCCGGTGCCTTCGTTCTCCCCTTCACTGTAGTGGCCACTTCACTGCCCAGTTGAACAGAACCTACGATCTCTTCTCAGGAATGCCAGGTTGGAACCGAGGCCGACCTCGCCAAGTTAAGGGCCGGGGTCAGGGCCCGCCACCTTGCAGGTTCACTGCCCACGTTATAGTGGAGGCATCGTTGTTCTCGTACGGAGGAGTACGCTGAGGCTCCAGGGCTGGTGGCACAGCCGAAGGCCCAGGCGTTGCACTGCCAGCCAGGTCTCTTGGCCACAGACCTCACGTTCTTTCTGCTGTCCTGTACCGTCAAGGCGGGGACGTGGTCTAGCTTCTCAGAACTCCTTGTTTCTTCTTTCTGGATTCTGCATAGGCTCCGTGCATGGAGGTGGACGGGGCTCCGTGTACAAGGCCCAGTTTTTTTTTTTTTAATCCTCACCCGAGGACATTTTTCCATATTTTATTCAGATAGAGTAGGAGGGAGAGAGAGAGAGAAGCATCGACGTGAAAGAGACACATCGAGTGGTTGCCATCCACACTGCCCAACCAGGGCCGGGGACAAACTGCAACTGAGGAATGTGCCCTTAGCGGGAACCAAACCCGGGTCTCTCTGGATCGCAGGCCAACGCTCTAACCGCTGAGCCAAACCGGCCAGGGCTAGGCCCAGGTTTTTTAGAAGCGTCTGGTCCTCAGTATGCAGCCCCATGAGAACTGGAGGTGCCCCGTCTGCTTTGCAAACTGTGGTCACCTCCTTACAGGTCTTCCAATTGACAAGCCCCCTGAGCCGCCTCCTCGGGCAGATGAAGATAAGGACAGCAGTGTCCTTGTGCCCCGGGAGCTCACAGACCAGCAGGTGGGATCCGGACAGTCATGCATACCCAGCCTCCTGCAGGTTGGAGGGAACGGTGGGCAGGACCTCCCTGGGGTGGGTGGCAGTGGCAGAGAGAAGCATTTGAGTTGGGCTTGGAAGGGTGCAGAAGAGTTTGCCAGGACAGCCACACAATTGATCATTGACAGGTAAGCAAGGAGCATCAATGGGCGTTGAGTCACGACAGCTTTTCCTGGAGACTGGCTGGGGCTTTGTTAGCTTGTGCCGTGGCACCCCGGGAATGGCTGGAAAAACAGTTGCTCCGACTTCAGTGGCTGCCAGCTCATTGCCCAGGGCTCAAGGAGACGGAGAAGCTAGTTTTGCAAAGGCATCGGAACGTTATACCCCCGCAGACATACACATTTTTCTAGATGGAGGAAAATGGCCTTATGAAGGTGTCTGTTGGCTCCATGTAGGGACCTGCAGAGAACTCCTACATGGGTCTCTTGGAGATGGAGCCCCTGGCTGAGGCGTGGGGTTCCGTCTTGGAGGGCACATTCTCTTCCCGAGAACAATTAGCCACAAATCAGTAATTGACCTCAGGAACTGCACAGAGTGGGATGGTATTGATTTGTGGGCCTTTTGGCACAAGAACCAGCCTGAAGACATTCCGTAGGAAGCCCGAGTCCACAGCCCAACGTCCTGCCTTGATCTCCAAGTGTGGGGGAGAGGCGGAGAGGGCAATGGGTGGGGGAGAGGCAGAGAGAGACAGGAAGGAGGTGGGAAGAGGTGGAAAGAGAGGACGAGACACAGAGATCTCAGAGACAGACGTGCATAAACCGGGAGACAGTGCACACACAGACGGGGGGGACAAGAGGAGAGCGAGGCCGCTGCCTCCCAGCTCCCCGCAGTCCTGGCCTTTTTCGTCTCTGGGGCATCCGTTTGGGCGTAGGGCCCCTTGGGCTGGCAGAAGTCGGCTTTCTGCTCCTGCCGCGCGGTGGAGTTCCTGCCTCCCTCCCTCCACCCCACTCGGTGTTTATCCTGCACTAAACCCTGTGATCGGTGCTGAGGAAGAAAACGCACATTAGGCTCCCACGCGATGTGTGCTTGGCCAGCGGCGCCCACGGCTGGCGAGGGGTTCAGACCAGTAATTGCTAACCCCTCTGACTGTGCCAGGCCCTTCTGTTTACTTGCTTGTTTGTTTATTCATTCATTTACTCTTGTGACTCTAGCAATGACCCTGTGACATAGGTGTTATTGTCCCTCTGTAGTCCAAACGTCGACACCCAGTGCGGTGAGGTAACTTGCCTACGGACATAGCTCGGAAGTCCCTGGTAGGCCCCCTCTGGCTGTGGGACTCAGGAGGTGGCTTTGTACTAGGTCTCCAAGAAGGGGGTGAGGAAGAGCTTGAGGTCGGTTGGGTGTGCACTGGACAGAGGGACGCTATAACACACACTGTCCCTTTGGTCGTGCAGCCACTCAGAAAGGCCAGGTAACTGGGGCCCAGGTCTGCCTCGCTCTATAGCAACTCTGTGCCCCGTAAGCCACCCCACCTTGGGGCTTGGCCAGCAGAAAAGAGTACCTTATAGTGTTGGTGGCATGAAGCGAGGGGCAGACGTACTGACGAATCCTCACCTCACTCTGGCTGGTTTGGCTCAGCGGTTAGAGTGTCGGACCAAAGAGTCCCGGGTTTGATTCTGGCCAAGGGCACGTACCTCGGTTGTAGTTTCTCCCCAGCCCCAGTTGGGGTCGTGCGGGAGGCAACCAGTCGATGTGTCTCTCTCACATCGATGTTTCTCTCTCTCTCCCTCTCTCTCTTTCTACCTCCCTGAAGATAAATGTAAAAATACTCTTGGGTGAGGATTTAAAAAAACCCTCACCTCCAAGCGCTTCCCGTGGGACCTCAGCCCGCCCACCTCCTCTGGGCCCAGCTCGTGCCCCTGCCGAGGTCACATGCCACCCTTCAGGGAGCGGGGTCCTGGGGCGGGCCGAGAGGGATGGAGCTGGTGTGCTGGGTGCACAGGCTCAGGCAGCTGCCGGAGAGGGGACAGGAGGAGAGCCTCGGGCAGTGACAGCCACAGAAGGGAATTTACGCCCCAGGCCCACCCAGGGCCATATACATACATCTTAGGTTTCGCTCCTTCTCCTCCCTTCATTTTCCTTATGATCTGGCCGGTTCCTTCTCTCACCTCTTCATCACGGTGTGAGCTGTTGGTGTGAGACCTTCTGCGGTGCTCGACCCCACATGGACACGGGAGGGAGTGGACGGGTGGGGCTCGGGGGCGCCGACAGATCCACGAATCGCTGTGGTGTGTCTCCTCCAGGGCTTGTACTGGAAAGAGCAGAAATACCTCTTGCATCTTTATTAGCTCACCCTCCACTGAGATCCGCATAGAACCAGGATGTTCTCGTAAAATACCACAATCGGCTCTCCCGGCGAGGTGTTTGTAGAACAGCGACGTTTACTTTTGCTGTTTCCCCACCTGCCGTGTAGAGGAGAAAATCAAGAAACCATGCTTCTCCTCCCCCACACCGTTCCTTCCCCAACAGCCGTAAGAGCAACACCGGCTTCCTGTTATGATACACCGGCGAGTTCTGCAGGCAGGAGGAGTCGTGCTTGGCAGAAAGGAAAAGCCCTGGCCAGCCTCCGAGTCCGCGACCCCGGACCTCTGTCCTGGAGCCGTGGCCTGCCCATCCCTTCCCCGAGTCCGTGACCCCAGACCTCTGCCCTGGAGCCGTGGCCTGCCCATCCCTTCCCCGAGTCCGTGACCCCGGACCTCTGCCCTGGAGCCGTGGCCTGCCCATCCCTTCCCCGAGTCCCCGACCCCAGACCTCTATCCTGGAGCCGTGGCCTGCCCATCCCTTCCCTGAGTCCGTGACCCCGGACCTCTGTCCTGGAGCCGTGGCCTGCCCATCCCTTCCCCGAGCCCGTGACCCCAGACCTCTGCCCTGGAGCCGAGGCCTGCCCATCCCTTCCCCGAGCCCGTGACCCCAGACCTCTGTCCTGGAGCCGTGGCCTGCCCATCCCTTCCCCGAGCCCGTGACCCCAGACCTCTGCCCTGGAGCCGAGGCCTGCCCATCCCTTCCCCGAGTCCCCGACCCCGGACCTCTGTCCTGGAGCCGTGGGCCTGCCCATCCCTTCCCCGAGTCCGTGACATCGGACCTCTGTCCTGGAGCCGTGGCCTGCCCATCCCTTCCCCGAGTCCGTGACATCGGACCTCTGTCCTGGAGCCGTGGCCTGCCCATCCCTTCCCCGAGCCCGTGACCCCGGACCTCTGTCCTGGAGCTGTGGGCCTGCCCATCCCTTCCCCGACCCTCTTCCTTCCCGGGTACAGACACAGGACGCCTCTGGGCGCGCTGTGTGCAGCCCTGGTTAAGGGTCCCTGCCCCGGCCACGGGGACCCGCTGGGAGAAAGAAGTGTGTTTGGCTTTAGTTTCTGGCTGCGAGCCCTGAGCGCAGTGGCTCTGGTCCCTCTTTATAAACGGAGGACAGATGCAGCGTCAGGTTGTCAGGACAGCGGGGGCCAAGCCTGTTTGTTTTTAATGGAAAGTGCGAGGGGAGAAACAGGAGCAGGCAGTAGTGCAGGCATCTGGAGAACCTCTGTCTGGGAATCCCGGTGACTGCGACGGTGGCCGCAGGCGGCAGAGGAGCGGGCTGGGCAGTGAGGGCGCCAGGCAGCCCTCAGGGTGGGTGGAGTCGGGGTGCCCCAGCGCCTTCGGCGGGAGTCTGTGGGGCTGCCCTGCACCGTGTTCCCCACACCTGTTCTCCTTCGCAGTCCCTGTGGCGAGGTACTGCAGACAGTGCTCAGGAAAAGAGGCGCCTGTGTCCCCGACTTCCCGCTCCCGCCTGTCCTCACGGCCTTCGTGGCAGCGGCGAGGGCAGAGTCGGCACGGGGTGCTTGCTCCTGTCGTGTGCCCCTCGGGGAGCCTGGAGCCACTGAGGGAAGGAAGCCACATGCCCCTGTGCCAGGCCTCACCCTCCAAACCCACACAAACCACAGCCCTCGCTTCCCGTCCCCCAGCGACCCTGCGTCAGTCGCTCATCTACCAGCGGGCTGCAGCACAGACCAGCTCCTCCCTCGAGGCCCCGCCCCAGCAGTAGGGGCCAGTTTGATTTCCATGTTCACAGACGCACACAGGAGACCCCTTCTCAACAGCGATACCGTGTCATTAGGCTGGGTTGCTCTATCGTCTTCCTGCTGCTTGGGGGACCCTGAATTTGCCCTTGACCCCTTCCTCGGCACCCTAGTTTGATCTGTGAGCTGACACAGGAGACCCCTTCTCAACAGAGATACCGTGTGCATTAGGCTGGGTTGCTCTATCGTCTTCCTGCTGCTTGGGGGACCCTGAGTTTGCCCTTGACCCCTTCCTCGGCACCCTAGTTTGATCTGTGAGCTGAGCGTGCCATCGTTCACGCTTCATTGGTTCAAGCCCTTCTTTCCTGACGCCCACCAGATCTCGGCCGGGGGTGGGGTGGGGGCGCCAGCCAGGCTCCTGGGCTGCAGGGGGCAGGCGGACCCCTAAAGAGCACGTTGCTGGGGGAGCATGGCTGGAGTGGGGAGCCCCTGACAGCCCCAGCCCCGCGGGGTGGAGGATGACAGGGGGGTACCTCATCCAAGACCCTGATATGTTAGCCCCCAGAACTTGGGGGGCGGGGGGAGCTGAGGCTCTGGTTGCTCTGATTGCCGTTTCATGAGACTTCAGCACAAAGTTCCTGCGTGGTCAGCTACAGAAGGCGGAGAGATGGGAAGCAAACCCCAAATAACAGAATCTTCTCAGACTTCCCTTTGGAAGATGAATCCCTTATGACAGGAAAGTAATCACCATCGATTACAAGAGCCCAGCCCTCTGAACATTCCGGAAGGTTCCTTGGGATTCTCTCCTCTTCCCTCCTTCCTTCCTTTCTTTCTTCATACCCTTGAACTTTCTTAAGTGCACTTTTCATTACAGTAGACCTCTCCTGGGCCCTGACTTGCTGGGTGCGGGATATGTGGGAAGGGGGTGGCCGGATGTGGGCCCTCCTTCAGATCGGCTGGACTCTTCCTGTCACACTGCATCAGGACAGTGGGACTACCCCCGGGAGCCCGGCGTGTGGCCACCCAGGGCACGGTTGCATCCCTCAGATGGGAATGTCTCCCTGATCACCTTCGCATGATTAGAAGGGTGAACTCCCACAAAGATCCGGAACAGTCCGGTTTCTGGGGTCTGGGGCCTCTGTCCTCGGTGGTGGTGTGAGACCCGTCATGTTTGGGGACTTGAGATGATCGGTTGAGCCCCAGTTATCGTGAACCAATCTCCTGGGCTATATCCATCATGCTTCAAGTTCCTGGGGGTTCTAACTGCTACTCTGTGACAACAGAAGGTTTCTCTCGCAGCAACTGTTATCTTTTGATAATAACAGTAACCCTGTACAGCTCTGGAGAGCTTTCCAAATGCGCATTGGTTCTCACAGCGACCCTGGGAACTGGGTCACCATCTCTCTTTTGTAATGAGGAAACAGGGGCTCAGAGAGGGGAAGTAATGTGCTCAAGGTCACACAGCTAGTAAGTGGTCGATCGGGGCCTCCGTGCTGATGTTCACCTTGACGCTACTGTCGTTGACTTTGGGCTGCTCAGCCAAGTCTTTGTTGAGCACTTGCTGCGTGCTGTCGTGGACGGAGCAGGCCCGCATCTGCTCCCCTGGTGGTGTGGGAGGAGGTGGCCACCAGATATTGGGCGGACCCGGCAGGGGCGGAGCCGTGGCAGGTGTATGGGCGGGCACTTGGGGCCCTCAGGTGAGACAGCACCTGCGGGAGGGTAGTGTGACAAGGGCCGACTCCGAACGCCGCTGGGTTCTGCTCCCCAGAGCGGTCCGCCCAGGGTTCGGGGGGATTTGCTTCTGCAGACACCGGGGGAGTGTGCGGGACTGGGCTTCCCATGGGGAGAGAACAGGAAGGGCACGGTTCTGCTTGCCCCTATCTCCTTGTTTAGATGAGCCTTCGTTCCTTCAGGAAAGAAAGGTGAGCCGCGGGGATGGAAGGAGGCGGAGGCCTTCACAATGCTCTCTTGTAACGTTCTGCAGTTGGCAGCCTGACCAGGGACGTACGAGTTCCAGGCACCTACCTGCTCCTGTGGGATCTGCACTGCAGGGGAGCAGGGCATCCATGCAGCAGCCCTGGAGCCCGGCAGCCCTCTGCCGCTGTCCTGGACCCTATGCTGGGCCAGGGACGTACGAGTCCCAGGCACTTACCTGCGCCTGTGGGATCTGCACTGCAGGGGAGCAGGGCGTCCATGCAGCAGCCCTGGAGCCCGGCAGCCCTCTGCCGCTGTCCTGGACTCCGTGCTGAGTGGGGACCCGTGCCTCCTGTGGTCCTCACCCTGCCTGCTTGGGACTCTGTGTGTACACATGTGCATGCATGTACACGGATGCCTTGCGTGCATGGGCACACATGTTAATGTGCATGCACACATGTCAGCATGTCTGCACACACGTGTACCATGCATGTGTACATGTGCCGCAGGTGCACGCTCACTAGACTGGAGCCCCTGAGGGCAGGGTGGGTCCCTCTCCCCTTGGTCCCCAGCGCTCAGCACAGGCTGGCATTGATCAAGCGGACAGCGGGGCTTTGTGGCCGCCTGTGGCCTCCCTGGGAACCTTCTGACTCCCAGCCGCAGTGAGTGCGCTTCCTCGACGCTTCTCCAGCATCAGGCTTCTGGAGGCCTCGTCAGCATCTGCTCGGTCAGGTCCTCGCTGCCTGCCCTGGACCTCTGACCTCGGGTGTGTAGCCAGCCCCTGGCACGGGGCCGGGCACAGGGCTCAAGGGCAGCGGGTGTGTTCGGGTTTGAATGCTGATGTGTTCACTGAGCATCTCTGCCGCCTGCACCCGCAGCTCCAAATAACATTTCAGGAATCGAATAACAGTGTTTCAGTACTTGCAGAACTCAGAAATAGATGATTTGATTATATCTGTTGGAAGTCATTGCCACAACTGGCTTCGTTTTCTTAGCCAGCATCTGTCCCGAGTGGGGAGAGACAGCAGAGGATGGTGTAATGACTGGGTTCTCCCCAAAGCCCATCTGCCGAGCTGGCGGCAGCCCGAGGCTCTTCCTGGATGGGGGAGCCCGCGGACCGAAGCCGCCCCAGCAGGGCCCAGACCAGCACTGCCTGCCACCCCCTGCCCCCTGTGGCAGGACCTGCCCACACACCTGGCAAGCCACTTACCCTGAGGATGTCACTGCGGGATGGTGGCTGCCCCAGCGGGCTCTTCGGCTTTGGAAAGTCTCGCGACTCCTGTGCCTGATCTGTGCCCCAGCTTGCCCGGCGGGTTGTTTCTCTGGCCCACGCTTCGCCCGGCCTCAGCAGCCATCATGGCCAACTGCTCCTTCCTCCCCCCCTTGGGAAATTCTCTCTGGGTTTTCTCAGCCACGCGGTGCCAGGGGAGTCACGAGGGTCTCAGGATGCCCTTCTTAGCGCTGCGGGGCACTGCCTTCCTGCCTTCGAGTCCACGGTGGTTGCGGCCGGGAGGCTGGAGGCTGGGGCCGGGTGAGGGCAGCCCCAGGTGTGCTTTGGTTCTGCTTGGAGCCGGCCCAGGGCGCGACCACGGAGCTGTCTGCTGCTGCCGGGCGGCGGGGGCTGTGCTTCCCCTCCCAGCAACGAGACAGGAAGCAGGTGTGCCCCGTGTGCCTCCTACCCCTGCTACTTTCAGAACGAAGTGAGTTCTGAGGACCTTCAGAGGAGAGAAGTTCGTGCAGAAACCCAGCTGTCAGCCCTGCCAGCTCGCCCTGCCCGGCGTGGCCCTTCGCTTCTCGCCCACCTCCCCCGGCCGCCCAAGCGAGGAGGTCGGCTGACTCCGGCTCTGGGTGGTCCGCGGGCAGGAGCAGCGGGGCAGGAGCCCCAGGCCTGCGGGCCTGCTTTTGCTGGGCCCGGGGCTGCGTGAGGGTGACTGTGCTTCTGCCTGGGCGATGGGAATCGGACCAACACGAAAGTCAGGGCGTTCGCTGATAAAGCTTGCTTTTGTTTCCGGTTGTGTTATTGAGTAGTTATAGATACTAGTGCCCGTGGGCTCCTGGTTGCCTCATAGTTCCCTTCCGTTTGGCCAGCCTTGTAAGCACCCGCCTGGTGCCAGGAGCAAGTTCAAGAACAGGGGGACCCACCGCACCCTAGTCTCACAGGGCAGAGGGCGGGGTTCTCACGGAGGCCCTGATAGGGCTGGGATGACGGCTGGTGTAGTGGGAGCCCTGGGAGCAGATCCTGAGTCCTTCCTGGAGGAGGTGGCGTTAAGCCAGCCACCTTTGTTGGCCACTGTCACTGATTTCCTATTAATCAAATAATGATGAACGGGTTGCATTTGGAGGCACCAGGAGACGCTGAACAGGAGCTAAAGGAAGCCCGAATTCAACCAGACCAGAATTAGTGGCACTTTAAGGAGTTCAGTTTGGGATTTTGAAGAAGGAAAAGACTGGCCTCATTAGACCACCTCAGTGTGTCCTTGAAACCTTTTCACTCCTTGAAATGTTCTTCTTAACACTGTGGAAAAAGCAGGCTCCCCTGCTATATATAGCCCTTATCTCGATGTGCAGGCTCAAACCAGTCCACTTATCTTCCAGGAACTTCTGGGCTAGGCCCCAGGGGCGGTGGGGTCGGCAGGGGTGTTCTGCATTCTGCCCGAGGGGAACTCCGCGCTCCTCTTGGGTGGGGCCCCTTGGAGACAGCTCAGTGAATCCAGGGGCCCTCTCCCTCCTGGGGCTCCCCTCACCTGGGCAGTGACTGCTTTCCCGGTTCAGAAACGCCTCTGGTCTAGTTTCCTCCCTTTTAGTTCCCAGCAGTTTTATAGGGCAGGGTGGGGCGCATGGCGGAGGACAGGGCCCGGGGTGTGCCCACAGGGCATCTATGGAACGGGAAGGGTGCGGTCGGGGCCAGGGGTTAGGATTTCGCCTGGCTCCGTCTGGCCTCTTTTGTGAATTGGTGCTCATCCGTGGTCCTGGCGTGCAGACCTGGGCTGTCTCCCTGAGGAACAGTTAGTTCGACACTGGCAGGAAGGGGCTCCCGGGAGCGGGGGAGGTGCTGACCTTCTCCGGACATTGAGGTGGCCACTAGCACTAGCCTGTCGCAGGACACAGGAGCCTGCCAGGGGGGGTGAACTAGGGCCCCCCAAAAGGTGCAGCAGAGACCCTCTTTGATGCTGAATGATCCCAGGGTACGTTCCTTTGTCAGGTGGTACCCCATTCCTGGGGGTCTTGAGGGCTCACAGGCAGCAGCCCTGTCGTGGGAGGACTTGGGTTCCAGTTCCCCCCTGGCCACTGGTTTCTGGCCGGCCTCTGTCCCTGCGGGCCTGTTTCCTCACCCCAGGTGGAGGGCCCATCCAGGCTGTCACCGAACTGGACATATTATGGGGCTGCCCCCTTTGCCTGTGGGGACCCGAGGCAGAGCTGATGCCCGTGCCTGCCCCGTTTTACGATTCTCTTCTGCAGAGACCTTTTCTTAACCAACCGCTCACCTTGTTCACGCGGAGGCTCTTTGTCGTCTGAATGCAGTTCACCTGGGCTTTTTTCTCCCCAGTGTTTTTGTTGATTTTTTTAGAGGGAGAGGAAGGGAGAGAGATAGACGTCCCCCAACCTGGGGATTGAGCCCACAATCCGGGCATGTGCCCTAACTGGGAATCGAACCGGGACCTCTCAGTCCACTGAGCTACACTGGCCGGGCTCACCTGGGTTTTGAGGCCCCAGGTAGTTCCCTGGGTTGGGCACAGGTGGCGGATGGCCTCCCAGCTGGATGGCCCTAGGCGCCGACCCCACCCGCTGCACTCAGCCCTGGCCCGGGCATCCTGTTTTGGTGGAAAGGGGTCAGCAGGGAGAGGGGACCATGGCGAGACCGCGCGCTTCTTCCCACGGCTGGGGGACACTAGCCTTTGTCTCCCTGGGCCAGGCTTTCCCTCAGCCTCTTCATTTTAAAGTCCTCGTCTTCCCTGGGAGGTGGCTCTGTTCGTCTCCTAGAGACCAGTGGAGAAGACAGGTGAGACACCTGACCCAGCCCTGCCCAGCAAGTCCCCGTGGCCGGGCTCTGGGTGTCTTACCTCTCTTCCCTCCCCCTCCCTCAGTGCTCTCCCAAGTGAACAGACCGTGCTGCGGGGACCCCCAGAAGGGGGTGTCGCCACTCTCCCTCACGTTGTCCTTACCCTGCAGGTAAGAAGGTCTTGAACCGGTGTGACATTCGGCAGCTCTGAGCGACAGCCACGTGCCAGCCGGTGAGCAGGGCGCCAGCCGGTGAGCAGGGCAGGCCTGAGCGCCCAGGATGCTTGGGAAGGAGAATGAATGGCCAGGGGGCTGGCCCTGTAGGCAGGTGGGCGAGGGCCCCAGACTGCAGGGAGAGTCGAGGAAACAGGCCCGGGACGGGGCTTGTCTGTGGAGGGGCAGACCGGGCGGGCCCCCAGCAGCTTCTCCCTTCACCATGTTGCTTCTGCATGAATAAGACATGAGACGTGGAGGCCTTCAGGTATCGTCATTATCATCTGGCTCGATAATAGGAAAATTAAAATTTAAAGTGATCTGCAGTGACAGGTGACGGGAATGCTCCTAGAAGCTGGAGGTGGGTGTGGGAGCAGACTAGTGCGGGTGCTGTCAGCTCCCTGGTGTTGGTGGGTCTTCCACGGTTCAGACCTCTAAGCCCAGGACAACGGTTCCTTCATTCCAGGGGTTCTGGGGATCCCGCAGTCTCCTCCTCCCCGTGTCCTGGGCTCAAGGCTGAGTCCCACAGCTCAGCTGGTTTCTGGGTGGAGACCCTGCTGGGGACGAGCTGGACACCTGGGACCGGAGGCCCTCTTCTCACTCAGATGCCCACTGCTTTGAGAGGCAGACTTTCCTCCCGCCTGGTCTTCAGCCTTCAGGAACTGGGAAGGCCTCCGGGCCAGGCCCTCGGGCCAGCTGGCAGCCCTGGCCTGGCCCAGCCGCTGCCCCACGGATGTGTGATGACCTCACTCTGGGAGGCCCAGCCCCAGCATTTGGGACCCCTCTCCAGTTTGTCCCCAAGGAGCTAACCTGGGTTGAACCTTCAGACCAGAGGGCGCTGGGGAATTCCTGGTCCGCCCGCCCACTCTGCCTCACTGGGCCCCTGAAGAGTTGACTTTCTAATGCATTTTCGCCTCGAGGTCTGGGTTTTCCCCTCGGGCCTCTAGGAAAACCCAGCCTAGCCGGCTTCACATCCCCAGTCTGCTGACTGGCTGTTCCGGAGCTGGGGGGAGCCGGCTGGGTTGGCTCACCTGCCCATGCCCGGAGCCCCCTCCTCCTTCCTTCAGGGCTGCCTGGATCTTCCCGAGCTACGGGGCCCTGTCCTCCAGGGCAGTGGGGCAGAACACCAGAGCCCCGGGGACAGTGGGCTGTTAAAACACTTATTTTAATTACAAGAGTTATGTAACACTATATCAGAAAGTTGGCAAGACACAGGGCAAGGAAAACATCACTGACTTTGGCCTAAACACAGGCGCCCCAGCCTGTGCTTCCTCGGTCTGCTTTCACTGCGCGTGGGCACCCCCAGCTCATGTCGAGTCTTGACCACCGCACCAGGCGGTTCTTGGTCTGTAAGGACAGAGAGCCCTGTCCTGCCTCAGGGAGCTGACTGTCCAGGCAGAGGCGTGTTTGAGTGGAGCAGGTGTGGTGCCTGCTGCCTGCTGGCCTGTACCTACAGGTGAGGTGTGGCTTTGAGCCAGGCCTGCCCCCTCCAAGTGTGCAGGGAGACAGACACGGGTGTTTCATTCAAAGTCAAAGCGTGTGACAAGGATTCCCGTTGGGGCAGGAGCGGGATGTTGGGGCAGGAGGGTGCGGGTGGGAAGGGAGAGAATGCTTGTGACTGTGGGTCTGAGACAGGCGTGGACCTGAGCTCGTGTGAATGTGGGGGGTTGGACAGAGGGGGTGGGTAGACGTGGCTCTCGATGGCACAGAGGTGGTGTCCTAACCCCGTCTTCCCTGGCTGGACCACAGTTGTGCAGTTACCTTGTTCATTTGCATGTGATTGGTTGGCGGTCTGTCTTCTGCTCTGGAGGAGGACGTCCTTGGGACAAGGACTTCATTGGCCTCATTCACCACGCAGAATAGATCCCTGACTGTTGAATGGAAGGATGGAGGAGTTCATGGGCTGGCTGCACTAGCGTGGGGGGTCTGAGGCCAGAGGGCAATCTGGGGTCTCATCCCTAGTTAGCTGTCTTTGGGAAGAAAAATTAGAAAATCATGTAAGAACAGAGAGGAGGAGGGGAGAGAAGAATCCCCACCCAGAATCCCAGCACAAGAGGTAATATTTTGGCATATGCCCTACCCCAGGCTGCCCTGCATGGATGCTATTCCTGGAGACATAATTACTTAGTGACTCTGTTCTTCTGTGGAATTCACCAGGCAGGGCCGTACTGACAGGGACCCTCTGCTGTCTGGACATGGCGCTGCCTGCCCCGGGGCTGGGGGTGCGGGGGGCTTTTCTCAGGCCCAGAGTTCTGCGTCTGGGTGAAAAAGGAAATACGAAAGCAAAGTGAGCAGAGGGAGAGTGAACGGCCACCATTCCTTTTCCTATTGATTAGGAAACTCAGGCAAAGCTATCAGATCAGACTTGGAAGTCAGAACACAGGTGTCGACACCACCCCATCGCTCCCAGTGGTCACAGTAGCTGCACCTTTGTCCTTTGGGACGAATGTGAACTCTGAAGTCAGAATTGACCTGGATTTAAGCCCCAGATCGTCCCGTTAGCAGCGGTGTGACCTTGGGCAAGTCAGCTCATTTCCAGACTGTACTTTGCTCACCTGCCTGTGGAGACAGGACCTCCCCCCG